TTGGGTTGAATTTAGATCGGGTCAATAACAAGTCGTGTTAATTTCGAGTCGGGTTAGTAACAGATCGGGTTGAATTTTTGGGTTGGGTAATTAATAGGTATGGTAAAATTCGGGTCGGTTCAATAACAAGTCGGGTTGAATTTAGGTCAGGTCAATAACAAGTCGGGTTGATTTCGGGTCGAGTTTGTAACAGGTTGGGTAAAATTCGGGTCGGTTTGGAACGGGTCGGGTTGAATTCAGGTCAGGTTAGTAACAAGTCGGGTTAAATTCGGGTTTTTACAGGTTAAAACGTTTTTGGGTCAATTTCGGTTCAAGTCGGGTTCGGTGCAAGTTAATTAAATTGGCCGTTGTAAACCAATAAATCGGTGCAAGTTGTAAATCAATAAATTGGCCGTTTAAAAGCAAATTGAATGGTTCCACACACCCAATTGGACTCTCAGAGGGTATTAGAAACCATGGTAAACATTTTGGCAATTTTTATTTTCGGGTGAAAAAAAAGTCAAAAAATTCCAAAATTGAAGGCTAATATCCACGTTTTTTGAGAAATTTTGGAGGTTTTGGGGCCCGGTGTCGAAAAGTCTTGAAATTCTATGGGGGTACATCTCGGGGTCATATTATGCAGTTTGGAACCATATATGATCATTATTTGTTGTCATAAATGTTCGTGGTAGGCTTGAATTAATGAAATCGGTGCTAGTTGTAAACCGGTAAATTGGTCGTTTAAAGGCAAATTAGATGGTTCCACCCACCCAAATTGGACTTCCGAAGGGTATTAGAGACCATGGTAAACATTTCGGCAGATTTTATTTCCGGGCCAAAAAAAATCAAAAAATTCAAAATTGAAGGCACGCATTATCCACGCTTTTTGAGAAATTTTAGAGGTTTCGGGGCCTGGTGTAGAAAAGTATTAATATTTTAAGGAATACATCTCAGGGTCATATAATGTCATATGAAACCATATATGATCATTATATGTTGTCATAAATGTTCGTAGTAGGGTTGAGTTAATGAAATCCGTGCAAGTTGTAAACCGGTAATTAAATTGGCCGTTTAAAGGCAAATTGGATGATTTCCGCCAACCCAATTGGACTCCCGTTGGATATTAGGGACCATGGTAAACATTTCGGCATTTTTTATTTTCGGGCAAAAAAAGTCAAAAAATTCCAAATTGAAGACTAATATCCACACTTTTTGAGAAATTTTGGAGGTTTCAGGACCCGGTGTCGAAAAGTCTTGAAATTCTAGGAGATACATCTCGAGGTCATTTAATGTCGTTCGGAACCATATATGATCATTATTTGTTGTCCTAAATGTTCGTGGTAAGCTTGAGTTAATGCAATCGATGCATATTATAAACCGGTAAATAGGTCGTTTAAAAAGGCAAATTGGATGGTTCCACCCACCCAATTTTACTCCGGAGGCTATTAGGGACCATGGTAAACATTTCGGCAATTTTTATTTCCGCGCGTAAAAAAGTCAAAAAATTCCAAAATTGAAGACTAATATCCACGTTTTTTTAGAAATTTGGAGTCTACGGGGCCCAGTGTCTAAAAGTCTTGAAATTTTAGGGAATACATCTCGGGGTTATATAATGTTGTTTGTAATTATATATGATCATTATTTGTTGTCATAAATGTTCGCGGTAGGGTTGAGTTAATGAAACCGGTGCAAGTTGTAAACCGGTAAATTGGTCGTTAAAAGGCAAATTGGATGGTTCCACCCACCCAATTGGACTCTCGGGGGGTATTAGGGACTATGGCAAACATTTCTGCAACTTTTATTTCCGTGCGAAAAAAGTAAAAAAATTCCAAACTTGAAGGCTAATATCCATGCTTTTGAGATATTTTGGAGGTTTCGGGCCAGGTGTCGAAAAGGCTTGAGATTTTAGGAGATATTTCTCGGGGTCGTATAATGTCGTTTGGAACCATATATGATCGTTATATGTTGTCACAAATGTTTGTGGTAGGCTTGAATTAATGAAATCGGTGCAAGTTGTAAATCGGTAAATTGGCCGTTTAAAGGAAAATTGAATGGTTCCATCCAACCAATTGGACTCCCATAGGGTATTAGGGACCATGGTAAACATTTCGGCAATTTTTATTTTCGGGCAAAAAAAGTCAAAAAATTCCAAAATTGAAGACTGATATCATCACTTTTGAGAAATTTTATAGATTTCGGGGCCCGTTATCGAAAAGTCTTGAAATTCTAGGGGATATATCTCGGGGTCATATAATGCCGTTTGGAACCATATTTGATCATTATTTGTTGTAATAAATGTTCGTGGTCGGCTTGAGTTAATAAAATTGGTGCAAGTTGTAAACCGGTAAATTGGTCGTTTAAAGGCAAATTAGATGGTTCCACCAACCCAATTGGACTCCCTGAGGGTATTAGAGACCATGGTAAAAATTTCGGCAATTTTTATGCCCGGGCGAAAAAAGTCAAAAAATTCAAAAATTGAAGGCTTTTATCCACGCTTTTTGAGAATTTTTGGAGTCTTCGGTGCCCGGTGTCGAAAAATCTTGAAATTTTGGGGAATGCATCTCGGGGTCATATAATGTCGTTTTGAATATATGATTATTATTTATTGTCATAAATGTTCGTGGTAGGTTTGAATTAATGAAATCGGGATGGTGTAAGTTGTAAACCGATAAATTGGTCGTTTAAAGGCAAATTGGATGGTTCCACCCACCCAATTGGACTCCCGGAAGGAATTTGGGATCATGGTAAACATTTTGGCAATGTTTAATATCCGGGCAAAAAAAAGTTAAAAAATTCCAAAACTAAAGGCTAATATCCACGGTTTTTGAGAAATTTCGAATGTTTCGGGGCCCAGTGTCAAAAAGCATTGAGATTTTAGGGGATACATCTCGGGGTTATAATGTTGTTTGGATCCATATATGATTATTATATGTTGTCATAAATGTTCGTGGTAAGCTTGAGTTAATGAAATCGGTGCAAGTTGTAAACTAGTAAATTGGTTGTTTAAAGGCAAATTGGATGGTTCCACCCGGCCAATTGGACTCCCGGAGGATATTAGGGACCATGGTAAACATTTTGGAAATTTTTATTTCCGGGTGAAAAAAGTCAAATAATTCCAAAATTGAAGGCTGATATCCACGTTTTTTTAGAATTTTTGGAGGTTTCGGGTAGAGCTGTAAATTCGGGTAAACGGGTCGGGTTTGGGTTAGGTCAACTCGGGTCGGGTCAATTCGGATTAATTCCATAACCTATGCGGGTCGGGTCATACTTGAGTCGGGACACTTCGGGTCATATTTCTTACCGGGTTTGGGTCGGATTTAGGTCGGGTTAATAACAGGTCTGGTTACATTCGGGTCGGGTGAATAATAGGTCGGGTTTATTTCTGGTTTTCACGGGTTAAAACGAGTTAGGGTAATTCTCGGGTTCGAGTCGGATTCGATTCAAGTCAATAATTTGCGGATTAGAATTAGGTTGGGTCATTCTCAGGTTTGAGTCGAGTTCAGTTCAAGTTAATAACTTGCGGATTATAATCAGGTCGGGTCATTTTCAAGTCGTGTCATTATCGGGTTCATGTCAATAATTTGCGGGTTATAATCAGGTTGGGTCATTTCCAAGTCGGGTCATTCTCAGAGTCAAGTCGGGTTATGTTCAAGTCAATAATTTGCACGTTACAATCAGATCTCATTCCCAAGTCAGGTAATATTCGGGTTCAACTTACTATAAAATAGATAATTATCATTTTTATCAAGCTAATTATTTTCTTTGACTATAATATATAAGGCAATATACTAGGAAACTATAGTTTATAATTTAGGAAGATAATTGTCTCCTTTGACCATACAACAAATATATATTATATTTAATTCTTAAATTTGTGGATAATGCTCCTTTCTTTTGCTGGCGTGGACCGACTTGGTCTCCCTAGACAAATTGCTTTGATCAACAATAATAAGGTGGTCTAAATTGCATTTAAGGTGATTTGAAATCGGGTCAGGAACAATTTGGGTTGAATTTAGGTCGGGTCAATAACAAGTCGTGTTGATTTCGAGTCGGGTTAGTAACAGATCGGGTTGAATTTTTGGGTTGGGTTAGTAATAGGTCTGGTAAAATTCGGGTCAGGTCAATAACAAGTCGGGTTGAATTTGGGTCAGTTCAATAACAAGTTGGGTTGATTTCGAGACGGGTTTGTAACAGGTTTGGTTAAATTCGGGTCGGGTTAGTAACATGTCGGGTTGAATTCAGGTCAGGTTAGTAACAAGTCGGGTTAAATTCGAGTTTTGACGGGTTAAAACGGGTTTGGGTCAATTTCGGTTCAAGTCGGGTTCGATTCAAGTCAATAATTTACGAGTTACATTCGGGTTGGGGTATCAGGTCAGTTCATGTTCGGGTCTCACATACTCGGGTCAATTCGGGTCTAGGGTTGGTTTCAAATCGGGTTTGGGTCACCATTTTTTCGGGTTCAGATTGGTCGGTTAATAATCGGGTTTGAGTCGGTATTTCGGGTCAACTTTTGACAGCTTTGGTTTCACCCACAAACAATTTTTTATATTTTTTACATTAACCCTTGAAATTTAATTTACCAAGAATTATTATCAATGTACCAGTCACATTAATCTTATTTAATTGGTTTACATTAATGAGTTTTTTCCTTCGTTTCAGATGACACATTTTGACTTTTGACATTATTCATTAACTTTACTTTGACTAACATTTGTGACTTAAAGGTATTAAAAAACATAGTCATGTGAGGTCTTTTTACATTCATTTTAATGCGTACTTAATTAAAATTCAATTTTTAGTTATTTTTTCCAATAATATAATTAAAGACATATTCGATTGAATATTTCTATTGACAAGCATGATAAAAGAAACGTATCAATCTTTAAGTGGTCAAGCCACTATAATGTAGAGTTGTCACTTTAAATCTCAATTCAGTTTGGACCGGATCATTTTGTCTCTAAAACTTTAACCATAAACAAAATTATGGGTTTAACACTTTAACTCAATAACATATTCCGATCTTAATAAAATCTATAATTCATTTGAGAACATTACACACATCATAATCTCAGGGAGGGATATCATTTCAATACAAGCAACTTCGTAAGGAAAATTAATTCATTTAAAGATGATAATTTTTTTTACAACTATTTTTGAAAACTAATTATCCTTTTTTTTTTTTTTTTTTTTTTTTTTTTTTTTTTTTGTCTAAAATTGGCAGTAAAATATCATTTTCTGGGTTGGCAAAATGTAACAACTACTCAAATAGATTTTAAAAATACAGTCCGTTGTCCAGTCTCTGTCTCATTCAGTCATGTGCTGCTCGGCTCCCACCCTTTCTCCCTCGAATCTTCTTCTCATGCTTCTCCACTCTCTCCCCATTTTCTCTCTTCTTCGTCAAATCACTCATTAATTCTGCATTATTTGATGCTTGGAGATCGTTCTTCAGCTTCTAAACTGGTAATTTTTTCATGCATTTTTTCTTTCTAAACTACCCTTATATGATTGTATTATATGATTCTGTATGAAACATAATTTTCTTGAGATTTGAATGATACCCTTTTATTTTTCTACATGATTAATGAGTTGGGTATACTTTAATTTGTTGTGTTTGTTCTTTGATGTTGGTGAATCTTGGAAATTAATCCATATTTTGTGTATTTGTTTATATGATTGCTTTGTGTTTGCAGTTGTGCTTTGCATTATAAATTGAGCTTTGAGGCTAAGAAGATTTCCAGGTTGTAATAGTTTGTTGTTTATTCAGCTTGATTTTTGGATTAATGGGTATGTGGGGTTTGAGGGTTTTGATGCAATTTTGAGTTGAATGATGGAGGTCGAATGAATCTATAGAAAATTGGAATTTAGGGTAATTTGGAATCTATGGTTTTGGTAATGTGTAATTCCGAGGAGTGTTTTTGTGATCTTTTAAGACCATGAACATTTTCAGTAGTGGTTCATCTATTAGTAGGAGTACATCTACAAATAGGAAGAATGCCACTGCTATTGGTAGTCCAAAAGTGTTTCTCCATAAAGATAAGTCAGACAACTCCAATGGACTTCGCCGAGATAGCTTGATCCCTCGGAATTTGTGTTTTCTCTTCATTACTGGACCATTGATCACCTTTTACTTATGTTTATCTTTTGGGTATTTCAATATTTTTCCCGATTTGGGGTTGGTATTTCATAAGTATGGAGCTTCATCGAGTAATTGTGATGTCTTTGATGGGAGTTGGGTATCGGACTACAACTATCCTTTGTACAATTCTTCTGAGTGTCCTTTTGTGGAACAAGGTTTCAATTGCTTGGGCAATGGGAGGAAGAATAAAAAATACCTTAGATGGAGATGGAAGCCCAAAGATTGTGACATCCCTGCTTTTAATGCATCTAACATATTGGAAAGGCTTCGAGGTAAAAGGGTTGTTTTTGTGGGAGATTCTATGAGTCGGACACAATGGGAGTCTTTTATATGCCTGCTTATGACAGGAGTGGAGGACAAAAAGAGTGTTTACGAAGTGAAAGGAAGGAACATAACGAAAACCACAAGACACTTGGCTGTTCGCTTTCGTTCCTTTAATTTATCTGTGGAGTTTTACCGGTCTGTTTTCTTGGTTCAACCTGGTATTGCAACAAAGCATTCTCCAAAGAGAGTGAAGTCAACACTCAAGCTTGACAAAATGGATGCCATTAGTAAGGAATGGGTTAATTCAGATGCAATAATATTCAACTCGGGACATTGGTGGATACCGTCAAAGTTATATGAAACGTAAGTCTTCAAATGCATATAAAAGCATGTGATCTATGTTAGTTTATGGATTTTATGCAACTTTGTATTTTGTAGTTTACAAAAAGATGTTGCACGTGAGGAATTTAGTCATATAATACTATTTAGAGTATTCACAAAATATTTAGGAGTTCACAATTCTGTGAAGTTTAGTGTGATCTCATAACTTAAGACACGATATTTTTTTTTTATGTTTTGTGTATGTGTACTTGTATCTCAGCATGTGCACTTCGATGTTGGGTTATATGTATGTTTGTGTGGAGCCAGATGTATTTCCAGGCCTATGTTTTACAGGTTTACACCTCTCTTCCTCTTTTTCAAAGAAACTATCTCTAATGATTTTTGTGAAAAAGCCATCTTGTGAGCACTTCTGAGGATTTTAAAATTTGGGGGAAAATACAACAGTCATCCTTGAAAGACAACCATGCTAAAAGTTTAATAGTGCATATTGATAAGTTTACTTATTGTACCTCTTGAATGGTAGCTGCTCTTTATTAAATTTTTGTCTAGACCTAAAGAAAATGTTGTCACTCTCACAGCCTTAACGTATGGGAGCTGCATTGGTCAATACTAAAACAGATGGATATGGGTTAGTAGGAGTGACAAAAATAAGTATCAATGGATATTGGTCAATACTTCTCTGCTCCTTCCTTGATTATGTCCCTTGAAGAGTAATGCAGGTGTTGAATGCCTGGAATAGGGTGATCTGGTTGGTGTTATGAATGACAGATATGGATATAATATGTCTTAATTGATCTAAGGAACATACTTCTATAGCCTTCCATGCAACATGTTGAACAGTACTAGTTAGCATGTTACAGGAAATTGAAATTAGCTAAATTTATGCCAATGATTTAAATTGTCATTACTATAAGCACGAATAGTGTTTGTAGGGTGTCTTTCTATCATTTTCCTCCTAGCCAATTCATTGATCTAGACTATAGAAAGGGCAAGACTGAACATATAGAAAGGGTAACACCCAGTGAAGACATAATTTTAAGTGATGATGGTTTGTATATTTGTTGAATCATAAGAGTGGAGACTTATTGGAGCAGCTATCATGTATAAGGAAACAGTAATTCTATTCTTGGTATTGATTTATACATCCTAATTCCTAGACAAGCCATTATAGCTTGTGGTTGGCATGCCAATTGCTAGATTGCATGTTGGTTGTGATGTATTACGATTGTGTCAATCTTTAGTTTAAAAATGCATAGATCCCTAAGTGTGGCTGCATTTATTTTTATTTTTTTTTTCCTATTCATAAACTAAATTCGTTTAAATTGTCTCCTAACAGGGGTTGCTATTTTCAGTTAGGTGGTTCACTGAAGCTTGGGATGTCAATACCTTCGGCCTTTAAAACAGCTATGGCCACCTGGGCTTCGTGGGTGGAAGCTTCAGTAGATTCAAAGAGAACACGTGTTTACTTTCGTACTTTTGAGCCATCTCACTGGAGGTACATTGAGCAATTCCCTCTACAATCTACATGCTTCAAAATTAGCTTATCGTAATGTGCTACACAAACATTTATTGCCTCTGCCATTGATGAATTGATCTGAGTGTTGAACTACAAGAAAAACTAGCCCTTTAAAAAAAAAAAAGAAAATGTTTAAGCTTATTGAGAAAATAAAAATAAAGTGTATTTCATTCAAATAACTTTACTCAGTGATTTAAACTTCGTATGTAATACAATTGTGAATTATTCCCTTACTTTACAGCTTGTGTATGCGCATCTGTGCATGGCCTAGCAATACACTGATTTGATTAGTTTATTCATTTCCCTATCTTGTTTGTACCAGTATCCAATCCAGCGCACATTGCACAGTGATGCAATTTCCAGAATCAGATTATGATTTTAAGCATCAGAGCCCATTCTCAGATGTGGTAATCGATATAGTGAAGAAGATGAGATTTCCTGTTAAAATGTTGCGTATCACTTCCATGTCTGCTTCTAGGGGTGATGCACATGTAGGCAACTGGAGTGACCGTAAATCTTTTGCTGATTGTAGCCACTGGTGTCTGCCTGGGGTTCCTGACTTTTGGAATGAAATTCTGTTGTCTGACCTTTTCTCTGACAAGGTACTGCCTAAAAATGATTAGAATAGGGTTGATTTCAATCTTTCAAGTAACATTTTATCTGACCCTTTTTCATGTCATTGTTGATTATCATTTTACTGCATTACCTTAAATTTCATTTTTTTGCATCTAAGTCATGCTGGGTGCTCAAATTTTGATTTCAACGTTTCTAACCTCTATTGTCAGTTAAATAATTTTAACACAACTGTTGATTTTAGAGGGAAGTCTTCTTATCCTTTTGGGCCTTGCCTATTCCGAGTTCTTTAGCTACTTGGTTGTCAGTTTTGACAGTGTGTAGTTGTATTGAATAATAAAATCCCAGAACGTGTGTTTCATCTCATGGCATTAAATAGAAAATGCATTGTTAAACAATAATTATATTTTTAGACCACATGTGCTAAGAAATTCACATCTTTTAAAATTGTCATTTATATTGTGTTTTGGGGATAGGTCAAGGACCCTCAAGGTAATCCTTTATTCCATTTGTTTATTGGATTTTGTTATGCTGAAGGTTCATGAACAGTTTCCAAATGGAATTCTTTATAGATAGAGGCTGTTAGCCTATTAGTGGTCATTCTACCAAAATATTTCACTAGATCAGATGAAAGCTTCAATTACTCTATTACTAAGTATTCCGTAACATTTAAGCTATTCCATAACATGTATAGTAGTACAAGGCATTTTCATTTCAAGTATCTGTTAAATATCCTAAATCATGCAGACTTTTGAATCGCGTTACATGTTTGTATCCAACATTTAAACACATTCCGAACACATTCCTGTTTTGGAGTACTTGTCAATTTTGGAATTGTACTTCCAGCTCCTCCTTGGAGAACTCGTTGCTCTAAACATTCTTCAGGATATATCAACATAGTTCTAACTTTCATTTCACTCTTGTTTGCAGAATGACTGAAATGAGAAAGTTCAAGTTGGATTCTTCGACTTACGTACTCCATTATACATTACTTGTCCTCTATTTGATAGGACAGGTACACATTGGAGAAGTTGCGGCGTTTGTATCAGTACAGAGATGTTCTGCTAAAGAGACTGCCCTTTGGCCTTCACTACAGATTTTTCCTTCCACGATTTGCAGTATGAAGAAGAGCTGTAAATGAAGCCTTGGGAGGTTCAAGGTTATATTCTTTCAATCACCTTTGATCAATTGTTGTATGTAGAAAATATGAATAGTTGTTCATTATAGAACATATAAGTTGCAAAATTGTACATACCTTTTCTCTTCCAATATCTTCGGGCTACTTGGTTCCATATCCAGAGAACGTCTGTGCATTGTGTAAGATTGTATCATTGATCGACATGTTTGATACCGGTTCATAAAAACAGGGATTAGAGAAAAACTGCTCATTTTCAGATTGTTTGGGGACTGAGGTTCGAAATTGGGTGGGAGAAGCATATGATTAATAAATTTTGTAATTATATGAATTTAGAATGAGCAAAACAAAGATGTCTTCAAAGCTTTGGCTTCAAGCTTTTACTAATTATAACCATGTGATTTATGGTCTTTAAGTTTAAGGAAAACAAAAAGAAATAAGAAAGATAGAATTATTTTATTTTCTCTGTATTTAAAAGCAGTCAATCACTCATTATAAAGATGCTTGGAATGCAATACATTTTGGTTTTAGTCTTTGTGTCAATGTCAAAGTAGCATTTGTTTAAATCTAACGGAAACTAGATCTAGCACTTTGAAAGACTATGTTCTAAATATTTCTAATCACCCTGTTCAAAATTAAATTGACAAATTACTAGTCAATTACCAAAAAAAAAAAAAAAAAACAAACAACATTCCAATCTCACTAATGTTTTATTACAATCATTTTTTAAAATTCCATATTACAATCAATTATATGCCTTTGGTTAAAAATGAATGTGAATTATTTTACTTAATACGAGTACTAAATTATCGATTACGGGTTGATTCATAATGGGTCATTTTAGTAAAAACATGCAACTATGCAAGAGCTCGTTGATCAATTTTCAAACATTTTAGTATGGAAAATCCTAGTGGTGAAAGCAAACTTAGCAAGAGTCATCAAGTATTTTTCAAATACAAGATGACAGCCTCAAAATCTTAGAATGAAGTGCAAGTTTCTTAATTATATGAACTTAGAAGTTCAATCAACATTCAAGCAACTGAGTTCATGGACGCCTTTATATATGTGTTTATTCAAACACCTAAACATCATCTGCTCAAAACTTCATTTGCTCTCTTTTATTGTAATCAGCTTCAATGGCTCAACCTCAAAATTTCAACTATCCATTTTTCCCCTTTCCACCACCACATGCTTTCCCGTTCCCGCCGAAACCAGCACCTCCCTTTCATCCCATTTCTCCAACAAAACCAACCCCACCATCGCCATCAAACCCTCCTCCAACGCCGATAGGCCCGATACCAAAGCCACCTCCCCATTCTATCCCTCCACCAAAGCCCTCAAACCCTCCTCCAACGCCGATACCTAAACCACCTCCGCACTCTCTCCCACCACCAAAGCCCTCGAACCCTCCCCCATCGCCTACACCTAAACCACCTCCACACTCTCTCCCACCACCAAAGCCTTCAAACCCTCCTCCATCACCAAAACCCAAACCGCCTCCACATCCTTTCTCTCCACCAAAGCCCTCGAACCCTCCTCCAAGGCCATCTCCACACCATGTGCCTCCACCTGCTCCAGCAGTAAAGCCACCACCACTGCCACCAAAGCTTCCACCACCACCTCCTCATGTGGTGCCTACTCCACCTCCTGCTCCAGGGCACCATGCTACCATCATCATTGTCTTTGTGTCTCTTGGAGGCGTCTTCTTTCTTGCATTCCTCTCAGCTGCATTGTTTTGCTTCATCAAGAAGAGAAGAAAGAGAATGATCAAGGAGACTGATAATATTACTGTTGATGAACATATGCACATTCATGAAGAAGCTGTACGTGGTCCTTATGGCGAGCAAGCTGTGCTCGTTACCTTCGAAGATGACATCCATACTCATGAAACTAAAATAACTGATGAAATAGTGAGTGGGACTTCGCATGATAGGGGTGCACATCATCCTCATCATTTTCTCCAAACAGCTGCACCTACTTCTGACTCTGATCAATTTCAAATCGAGAACAAGAACTCGTGAATGAGCTGAAGAACATGCTATGTATGCATGCACTGAGGACATAAATCAATGGTGAACGAAATAAGTTTAACCATGATGCTTTAAATTTGCTAATTTGTATGTACATTTCAACAAATAAAGTTCAGAATTCTTTCTTTCTTTCACGAGATATTTTTCTTAATAAGAAAAAAAAAAATTATGATTGCATTTTTCAGATGCTTCTGGTAACAAATTTTAAAAATGACACAAATGAAAGGGCTAATATTACATACAGAGTACAAAAGGTCAAGTGTGATTCAGTGACATGATAATCTTCTAACTGGGAAATACACCATTAATGCCAAATTCTGAAATTCCTAATAAGCAGTAATAACGGTGAAAGCAGGATACTCCAGCTGCATTAACACCAAATCCCCAAAATATCAGCATCTCAAGTGTGCGAGATTAAGTCCGCATTTGTAACCAATTGCTGGAATAAAAAACCATAAAACTTGAAGATACTGACTTGCTAAGTTGCTGGCAAACTCCAGAGTTTTGAACATTAAAATCGATATCAAATTATGTATTAGCATCATTTCATGGTACACTTGCAATCTTAGCTGATATATGGACCCTTCCCTTCAAGAGTTCATGACTCACTATACAAAATGTGGAAGAAAATCCAAACCTCAGGGATTAGGAGCAGAGAGATGATTACGACATGAACTTTACAAAGATGATGATGGAAGTCAAGGATCGATTGCCATGGGAGTAATACGCCTCTTAGCTGGCTTGCTAGATACAGGAGTGCTTGCCACTGGTGATGCCTGTTTGTTATCTGTTTGGTTATTCCTTAAAACAACAGGGCTATCTTTTGCAGTTTGGTTACTCTCTAAAATAACAGTGCTGTCTTTTACAGAAGCTTTGGCCACCATTGCTTCAGGCTTCTTTTGACTAGAAGTCTCGTCAACATGACTACTAGTAGTCTTTCCATCTAAGAAAGTCATATAAAGAATAAATATAGTGATAGAAAATGTGCAGAATAAAAGGCAAAATTTCTCAAAAATGACAAGACAAACCTGGAAAAGGGATAGGTGTTCCCAGTTCGTCACTTTGAAACTCTACCAATGTGCAGTATCCATCTTGTGATGATAATGCTAAATACTTTCCATCAGGCGACCTATCAAAAGCTTCAAGTTTCAGTATCCATTTTGTGATGATAGTGCTAAATAAAGTTAACCATGCTATTCCTACAGAAGGGAATAAGTATAGGGAGGACATTACCATGCTATATCTGTTATGGCTGCATAATGCAGACCAGCCAAGATAGCTAGAGGGGCAACACTTTCTGTGTCATAAATGTACAGTGAATTCAGAGTTACCACAGCAAAAATGAGCCGGTATGGAAGCTTGAAAAACCCAGCTGTCAAAGGCAATAAAGGTTCATTTAATAACATCAAATTGTGAAATTATTCACCATAGCATCAAACTAAAAAACTATACTACCTGAGTTTGATCCACGAAGGTTAAAAGCCAAAGGGCAGAACTGCACTGCTACTACAGGCTTGCTGGCACCGGGAAGCTGCAATGCAGGTCTGGATGCCAATGAAAATAGATTAGTTGTGCTCAAAACAGGGGAGGTGTACTCATTGAATCAAGAAAATAACAAAAATAATGCATTAAAATGCAAAAAAGTCGTTTAAAAAAGGAGCAGGCAACAACTTTCCATTCTGGAGTCAAAAGATGCAACTTACCTTGAAAGATCTTTTCTGGAAAATACATAAGCAGTATTGATAGATTCAGAATCAGGTGAACATTTGTATAAACCTGCAACAAAAGGCAGTCAAATGTTAAAATTAAAATCAAGTTCATGATATCTGGTATTAGCTTCTTAGAAACTTCAGATTCTTCATCCTCATAAGATTTTCATCTTGATGTACTCCACATTTATCAATAAATGGAAAATTCCCCTGAACGGGGATAAATCTACCTCCTACCAAGAGGGAAAAAAAAGGATAAAACATATAATTTCACAAGTAAATGAATCCCTACCAGCAGGTGCTAGTAAAAATGAACCATCAGGTGACCAGGCTAATCTTCGAAAGAATGATGGCAACGTCTCATCATGAAAGAGATGACTCTTCAAGCACTGCATACCCAACTTTGACAATGTCAGTACTCATCAACACTAAACACAGTTGGTATGAAGTCTATGAACAAGTCATTACTAACCTTGGTATCATCTGCAGATTGCTGTTCTGCCTTAACAATCACATGCTGACAAGCATAATTCATCTTCTCTACTCCCTTTGCCTTCTGAGGTTTGTTAACATAAATTCTGCAAGTTCTGTCAGAACTAAGAGATGCAACAAACTTGGACAATGGATCCCATGCCACTCCCTGAACATAGTGTTGATGTCCATCCAAAATCTGATGGACAGAGCCTGAATGACAAAGATTTACATTTAAACAACAATGGAACAACAACAGGCAGGTATTTCACATACAATTCAAAATCTTTGAGTACCTTTCTCAGCATCCCATATGATGCAAGAATTGTCAACAGACCCAGAGATAAGATAAGCTCCATTCCTGGACCACTGCAGATCCAATACATCTTTTCTATGAAATCTGAAAAAGTAAAAAAGTTACATCAGACACACAGGATGCTAACACTTTAAAAACTAAAAACTATTATAGATGCCAATCTATCCCGTCCTCTAACATACAATCTGCTGATTCCACCAATGACCAACCACATAGCCCAGTTGATAATCATGATTCCCAGATACTCGTAATAAACAACAAGCCAATATTAATCTTAAGAAAACGGAATTGTGGAAGTCCAGATTTGCATATACCTGGTATTCAAAAACAAGATTTCACTACAATGAATAATGATCAAATCAGGTTAGATTAATGGTTTTCAATCCCTTGAGAATTGAAGCTGTCGAGTCATGACATATACAGGTTTTATACAGTGATTAAAGTAAACAAATCTCCATGTATTTCATAAACTTGAACCCAGAAAGACTGCTTTCATATCTCATTTAGCCACTACTTTTCTACACTGCCTAACAATATGCTTACAGATAGAATCAACAAAATAAGGTTTGCTAAAGATAGATTAACAGTTGATCCAGAAGGTAATCTTACGACAACGTCTTCAGAACTTTCCAAACTTGACCAGCATCTGATAGATGAGACTTCCATAATATAAGTTCACCTCCTACATTAATAAAAACTCTATTCAGAAATCAATAAGCAACGAAAAGCCAAACCGAAATTTCAATATCACAGGCTCACAGCAAGTAATTTACATACCATCTGCACCTGAAGCAATTAATTCTCCTGTCCACAGCACAATCAAAAGAAAGTTTATTAGCATAATCATCAAAGCCGCAAGGAAGTTCATGCAAAACTAGATACATGCATATGCAGACTGTCCACATTCATGCAAACTAGAAACAAGGATTTCCAAACACATTGTACAACTTTAGTTCCACCTACTTTTGAGTATTTGACCTCCATACTTCTTTAACTGCACAAGAAATCATAAACAAGGACATTGAAGCATAAATATTTCCAAACACAGATTGAAAGCTTGGAAGTTTGGAACAGACCAAGAAACTTTCATCTAATTAATCTCGTCAGTCAGTCCTCCTATCATGTCCAAGACCCCCTCTCTATCTCCCAATAATTTAAACGCAATTAGTCTGCAAATCATCTTAATATATAAAACATATTATCATGTAGCACAACGTTTGACACTTTATGTTTGAACATCAACTGATGGAAGATACTCATATTCCTCTTGAAAAACTAGGCAACTAGCACACTAGCATCATCACTGAATCTTCAGGTATAAGTTCAACAATTTTCAAAATCAAGCGTGATGAGTCATTGGCAGAAAATATAAACTTCACAAACTAAAAAAAAAAAAAAACTTGAGAAAGCCAAATTTGTCAAATCATCAATTGTTACATATTACAGCAACCAAGAACAATATTAGTGTAGCCCTAAAGGTGAGGCTACTGGCATTTTATCTTTTATACTATCTTGCTTCAGACCCTTTAGCATGTGGGAATAGGAAATGAAAAATTGGAAGTGCATTGAGCAAGTCTGCAAGATTAATTACCTGAAGGAGCGAATCGAAGAACATTCACGGCAGAACTGTGATAAGAAAGACTAGTTTGATAGGAAGCTGTTGGAATTTTATTTTGCGCTTCTTCCGAATCCACTTGCCAAATCTGAAATAATCCCATCAAGCAGTTGAAACACAGGAGAACGCTCAGAACAGGTCAATGCCATCACAGATTTTAAGATTAAACATACACGAAACAATGAAACTATCAAGAATCTAAATATCCAAAGATGCGCAGCATGTTTGCAAGCAAGTCCATTTCATGTTAAAGACACATGATTAGAATATTTGTTAAAACAATAATAGACCTAAAATCAAAAACAGAAATGTTAATCTCAATATTACCGACTACTATGATGATATACTTGATCATTTTCATTCATTCCCAGAAACGTTATTCTCATGCCCAATTGCACAAACTTATTCAAGATTCAAACTTACCCTAAAATGGGATCTAATTGAATTCGAATTTTTAATAGCACTACTGCCATCAAAATTACAACCAAAATTGAAAATATTAACAAGAACCCACAAATCCTAACCCTAATCCAGCCCCAAAATTGACATAAAGACGGTTAATTTACAATGATACTAAAGTATCCCACAATATCGCTCATTATTTGATTTTCTTCAATTAAAGCATTTACAATCGAAAATTCAAAACAGGGTTTAATTGAAAAGAGTTGAAAACTTGTAATAGAGGAGAGAGAAAGAGAAAAACCTTGATATCGAAATCAGCGCCGCCAGTAGCGAGAAGTCCAGAAAAGGGATGAAAATCTAGGGTTAGAACTGGCTTAGTGTCGTGCCAATTGATCTGAACTGTTCCTCCTTTCATTTTCTCAGTGGATTAATGAGAAATTGAGTAAAATTAATCAAGATCGACAGAATTGTACTCGGAAATTTTAGGGTTTTAAGAAATAATTTGGGAAATGTTCGGTTATTTCTACCTATCTGATAGAGGAAGAAGAAGAGGAGGGTGTTTGGCGCCTTTTCTGTTTTGGCGGGAAATTCGAGATCTATGGTGCCTTACTGCCTTTCGCTAAAGTGGGTTATCCATGAAACGGATTAAGTAAAACTCATGTTGAATTGGACTCCTGTAATCATTTAAAAATGGAGAAAATGTTGAATTGGACTCGTGTTGTTCATGACATGCTGGGCCCTTTTAGTATTATTGGTTAAACCAACTAGGCTGCGAGCCGTGCTTGTTTTTACGAGTTGTCAGATGTCTTGGTACAACAAGTCTTATATGGAGCAACCTGATTATGTCTATGTGTCTTACTATATGTGTTGCGGTAAAGTTAGTGACATTGCGTGTAGTTTTCTCCAATTTAATACTTGTAGCACATGCATACAAGTAAGGGTGACCTGAATCCAGTATTATGGATTCAAGCGTCGCACGGACAATTTGCTCGCGCTCATCCTATGATATTGTGCCAAATTTTAAAAAATGATACCATGTACGATCATTGCCCGTTACCGTATGTCTTGTGTCATGTCATGCTCATGGTGGGTAAGGACATTTTCATGTCGTGTTAGTAAGATTTATTTTGGCAAAAAGTTAAATGTTTAGCCAAATAAAAAGTGGGGTGATCACTTTATTATATTATTTGAAAATGTTTAAAAAAAAAAAAAAACATTTGCGCTTACACTATAATTAAAATAATTTTTAGTAAAAGTAGGGTGGAGGGAGTAATAGTGTAAGTTACTTGATGTAGATTGGCTTAAACAGCCCTTAATGACATCAATAGCAAGTTCTAATTGGTTTAATGAAATCATCAAAACCACATTTTAAAAAAATAAAAAAATAAAAAGGGGGTATATTTTCAAGCAGTCAACTTGACAACTTGTGCATGCAAAACCATTTTACTATAAAGTCCAGCAGTTGATGTTCACCCACTGATTATATTTTCACTAGTTCAGTAGCTTCCCACCATTAAACTACAAACTTATTTTAGTAATATCATATTATTATTTTTATTTCAAATTGATTCTTTAAAATACAGTAGAAACTAGAAAGTAGTTGCTGGTAATTGATTTTTCAGCAGCAACTACACGTAGTTGACCCATTGAAATATTAACTTGGACCAACATTATAATAAATGCATATATAACGAGCAAATCCAAAGTCCCAAACACCAAATTTTAGTGGCATAAATCAACATAATTAAATAAAAATGTGTCTATTTAATTCTTCATGTAATTTATTAGAATGTCATAAATTTTCTAATAATTATGAAATGCCAAATTATTACTCTAAGTATGGTGTTAAGGAGGGTATTAGCACAAGGAAGAAGCTAGATTGGCTAAGGAACAACTTAATTGGAAATGATTTGGAATTCATTTCTCCTTTTGGTAAGCGCAAAGTTACTTATTTAGATTGTACCGCGAGTGGGAGGTGCCTACGCTACATTGAAGAATATATCATGCAACACGTCCTTCCTTCTTATGGTACGTTAGACCCTCTTTCCGTCTTAACTTAAATTTCCTTTGTCAATCTTGACCGTTAATATCTTTGTTTATATATGAATACAGGGAACACTCACACGTGTGATAGCTACGTGGGTCAGGAGACAACAAAGATGGTAACTCAAGCTAACGATTACATAAAGTCGTGTTTAGGAGGTGGTAGAAACGATGCACTAATATTTTGTGGGTCGGGTTCAACATCAGCAATAAAACGACTTCAAGAAGTCATGGGAGTAGCAGTGCCATCAATTTTAAGGGATAGAATGTTACAAATTCTAAGTAATGAAGAAAGATGGGTGGTTTTTGTGGGGCCACATGAGCATCATTCTAACTATCTTTCTTGGAAACAAAGTCTTGTTGAAGTGGTTGAAATTGGGATGAATAAAGATGGGTTGCTAAACTTGGAAGAATTAGAGGAAAAACTTGAGTATTACAAGTCTAGAAAAAGACCAATTTTGGGATCATTTTCTGCTTGTAGTAATGTAACTGGGACTTGTTTGGACACTAGAAGAATTTCTATTCTTCTTCATCGTTATGGAGCCTTTGTTTGCTTTGATTTCGCTTCCAGGTTGGTATATTTCCGTCATTTAACATATTATCTAATGATAGGTCATATGAAAATACAAATTACGTATTTTTTTTTTGAATAGAACTACGTATTAATATTAGTGTATATGCGAAAATTTCGCATCTACATACACACCTTTTTACACGTCTTTTTTTACTAACATTAGTTGTATTTGATTTTTTATACGTGGTACGCAGTGGGCCATATGTGGAGATCAAGATGAGATCAGGGGAGACGGACGGCTACGATGCAATATTTCTTAGCCCTCACAAGTTCCTTGGAGGACCAGGGTCTCCTGGCATTCTTATGATGAACAAAGCTTTATATTATTTGGGATCTTCTCCTCCTTCTACTTGTGGAGGTGGCACAGTCGATTTTGTTAATTGCTTTACTGAAGAGGTTCGAATTTATTTTTGTATAGCTTTTTATACAATTTCATTGCATATACATCGAAATGATTTATGTGGTGCGATTTAGTTATAGATTACAAAGAGGACAATTATTTTCAGACAGTGAGATTATATATTATTGAACATATTGTAATGTATAGCGTGTTACTGAAATTGCAGAACACGATATATGTGGATGATGTGGAAGAGAGAGAAAACGCGGGGACTCCACCAATCATCCAAAAGATCAAAGCAGCCTTGGCAATATGGGTAAAGGAATATATAGGGTGTGAAGTGATTCACAAACAAGAGACTTATTTCATTGAAAAAGCCTTGGAAAGGCTTCTTCCTAACCATAGGATCTTTATATTAGGTAACACGAGAGCAAAACGACAAGCGATTTTGTCGTTTCAAGTGTACTCACATTCAACATATACATATGATGAGAAAACCAGTGAAGGTGATAATAATAGTAGGCTTTACATGTGGGAAGAAAGTGGTAAGAAAAGAGGTAAACCACTTCACGGGGCGTTCGTTGTGAAGCTACTTAATGACTTGTTTGGGATACAAGCTAGAGGAGGGTGTGCTTGTGCTGGGCCTTATGCTCATCAATTGCTCAAAATCGATCACAATCATTCACTTGCCTTGAGATCTTATGTAGAGAAGGTACGTTTTAATGATCGTGTTTTGATTATACATTGTATTAATCCATGAACATTAAGTTCAATGTTACATATATGTACATAGTACGTACATGTTATCTTTATAATTATAGAGTTAAATTTAGAACATTAAATATAGTTATATTGTATTTTTTAGGGCTATCTAGGAGTGAAGCCGGGATGGGCGAGGATCAGCTTTCCATACTATCTATCAAACCAAGAGTTCGAGTTCATCTTGTTGGCCTTAGAATTGATTGCTTCATTTGGGCAACGTTTCCTAGCAATATACAACTTCAATTGGAAAACTGGAGAATGGACTTTTAGCAAGCAAAAATATCAGAAAATCATGCATGAAAGTGACATTGATTGCGATTTCTTTACTCAAAATTTAGCTACTGATGTACAAGTACTAAGCATAGATGATAACAATGGAGTTGAAGACTACAATGTAGGACAAGTATTAAAACATAAGTATGCATCATACTTGGAAACTGCGACGAATATAGCTCATTGTTTACCAATATGCCCTGAAGAACGTCCCATACCAAATGACATTGATCCACAATTCTTATTGTATAGGATTTAATTAGTTTCAATTAAGCTTCTTTTTTTGTTGTAGGTTTTGTCAATTACATAATTCATTACTGCATAAAACATTGAAGAATTGTTTATTTCCCGCCTTCGTAGGACGTACAACTTGTATGCTGAATGCAAATGGACTTCTAATTTACGTATTGTAACAATTTTAACATGGTAAATTTGTAAGAAAAAAAACCTTTTAAAAGCACCATTTTGGGAAAAAATAATTTTAAAAAGCTTTTTGGTTTTAAAAAACCACTACATTCAATTTTTTTTTGCGAGAGGAAACTTATTCCCCTAATTACCTTCTAATTAACTTAATTAAACTCTAAATTCTTCTAATTAACATTTAACCCACCAAATTACTAAATAATTAGATTTAATTACTAAATTTACATTGACAAACGTGACTAAAATAAGCACGTCAACTTAAAAATTTGGAGATGTATTGAAATACTTTACATGTGATAACCTTGACATTACACGGACTTTAAAACTTATAAAAAATGATACAGTGAAATAAAAAGTGTTGCAACTTTGGACGCAAACCAGGCCATGGACACAAATATCCCAAATTTGAAATTTCCAACCTTGTAAATGTTAATGGTGACAAAATGGTTAATTGAGTAAATAGTGAGTAATTTTTGACTGTTAAAGAAAATGTTATCCACTTGTTTAGGAGTTGTTCTTAACTTCTTACATTGCTCTTTTGCGGAAAATAATATTGACGCACTGATTCTCCGAGATTAATGGTAATTTGCTCTTATCCCCTTCTTCATTTTTCATAGCCTAATTGATATTTCCTTGATTATTTTCTGTAATTCATTGAAATTATTCTCAATTTTTGGTAGAATTAATTCTCTCTGCTAAAAGGTTACCCTTAAATTTTGTATCAGAGTACATATACAGTGATTATAATTATGGTTTTATTATTATTCTTTTTTTCTTTCTGATTTTTATGTTATTGGTTTTTTTATTTTTTATTTTTTATTTTTTTTTATTGATAGCTTACCAGTTACTACGTTAGAAAAATCAGGAAATTTATCATTTTGTTCAAGAGATTTGGACAAATATGTTTCTGAAATTTTAGTATTTACAGGAGATTTTAAGACATTTTTTCTAATAGTTCTGTGGAAATTAGGAATTATAATCCCCAAAGAAGGAAATGGGGACATAGGGTGATTGACAACACTATCAATTTAACTATCGAATATTGAATCCGGCTAAGATCATATTATATGCCGGTGTTGATCCGAATTGTTGTTATGGTGTGAGTGATACAAAAGGAAAGGGGAAGATGGGTGCTGGGCCTGGTTGGAGAAAGATTGATGAATTTTAGTTTTTGTTTTGGAGTTTGTTGCATTTTGGATTAATTGATTCTAGGAAAAGTTTGAGTGCAAGACCTTAATTGGATTATTGTTGGTAATAGATTCGTGTGAAGTTCGTGGTCTTAAGAGGATTTTGTGTCGTGCGAGGTGTAGAGAACTGACTGTTTGCTGGGTACCAAAGATAGCATCCATACATGGTGATCTAAACTAAGACTAGATTACTATAAGGGAAAAATTATGTGTTCCGGTTTTGAGTCAGCCATTTAATGAAAATCTTACATAGCTTTAGTCCAATGTGAAGCGTAAGTGTCCATATCTTTGTTGGAGTAATACTTGACTCGGGTAATTTAGGTGAAATGTAGAGCCTGAGTAACATAATTTATCTATTACTGACTAAGCTATACCATATACAAGTAGTAAAAATTGGCGATGAGTCCCTTATTCTCTAATCTCTACAGAAGAGAAGGCTTTATTTTCTTAGTCAACATAGATAGATCATTAGATTTTGGGCTGCTGGAGTGAGTGGGACCAAAAATTGCCATTAATGGGGGATTGGCCTCATCAGAGAGCTTAAGTCCAATCCTAGAGGGATGAGTCTGTAGTTTTTGGCTTGATCAACTAACTAAATAAAGCAAAGAGTTTTCGAAAGATTTGGCTAATGAACCGGGGAAGAAAGATATGTGGATGATTACACAGGTTCACAAGTAACTAAAATTGTACAAAAGTAAAGGAATCCCAGAATCCGTTTCGTAAAATACTTTTCACAAGTTGGGGAAAAGGGGTGGGAGGTGGGGAAATAGATGTAACTATACGGGAGAAAATAGTATGTGAAGAGAAGCTTTATATTTCATATGGGAAGAATACGGTAGGATTAGAAAAATTACAATTAAACAACCTGTTGAAATTGTTAGTATAGGACATCAAGACCTATAGGTAAAATTACTAATTCACTGCATGTGTAAAAATTATAAAAAATACTGTTTCTAGAATTCAGATTTGTAATTCTTATATTATCCACATTTCTGGGAAAAGCAGTGCTTCTTCTTGTGACGCGCTGATCAGGAGAAGGCATGTCGAGCGCTTTAGCTAATGGACTTGCAGGAGCGGGAGGTGGTTTAATTGCTCAGATTTTAACATACCCTCTTCAAACGGTATAAAATCTGGTGTAACTTTTCTGTATATGTTTGTGAGTTTCTAGTGTAGAATCTGTACATATAACTAATAAAGCACCAGTAGAATTGGTTGTGGCTTTGTGATTGTAGGTTAACACACGCCAGCAAACTGAGAGAGTTGTCAAGAAAGGGCTTGATGTTGGCCATGGAACCTCTCCCTCTGGAAATCAGCGTCCTGGAGGCACACTTGTCCAATTGCTTCAGGCTAGTTCTAGTTCACCAATAATAATATGATAAATTTCAATTTCATACTTGCTTGATGCAAATCCTCCATGTCTGATTTTTTATTTTAAGTCAAAGTTCACAAGAATGGCAACCTGATTCTTTTCTTTTAAATGTTCAGGTTATTAAAACTGAGGGTTGGGGTGGACTTTACAGTGGCCTGAAGCCTTCCCTATTTGGAACTATTGCTTCACAGGTCAGTCTATACTCTTTGAAATTCTACCTTTTACCTTAGGGAAACAATCGTCATATAAATTGTGCATCTAAATTGTAAGAAGTAAACTGTTATGCTGAAGTATGAAAAGAAAAATGAAACTTTCATAGTATGGCCAGTTTCAGTGACATGATTCAACCTTGTTCCCGGGTACAATTTCTTATTCCATGAACGGCTGGCAGCATTATCATGTTCAACTGTTATGCATCCTACTTGATATTTTTTGAGATAAGTATAGCTTAAAAGCTCATGATCTACTGGGGAATGGATTAGAGTACTAGGTTCTATTTAAATTCAATTAATTTTCTTTTTTTAATAGCCCCAAGGGTGTGTCACCTTCTCAACAAGCTAAGTGCTTGACTGTTATACTTCTGTGTTTTGGAATCATAGCCTGTCCAGACAAAGTTTATTATGTACTGTATTAAATGTTAATTTGTTCTATTTACTTCTCATCTTCTTCATTCCAGGGTGTTTATTATTACTTCTACCAAGTTTTCAAGAACAAGGCCGAGTCAATTGCAGCAGCACGCAAGGTGAAAGGGTTGGGTGATGGAAATGTTGGAATGATTTCATGGCTTGCTGTTGCAGCTATGGCTGGGTAAAACCGTTTGGATGCATTATTGTATTTTAGTATTTTTGGCGCATCAGTTATGGTTGCTTATTTGCAATTCTTTTTCTAGTTTTCCTCTGGGATTGTTTACCAAAATTGAGTTTCGTCTCTGAGAAAAAGAGTTAAATCCTTTCATTTTCATGTAAAAATCAAGAAATTTCCTTTATTATTATACTTGTGTATATATTGTATTTTTTTTATTTATAGGTGATTTATATGTTTTTATATATTTGCAGATGCTTGAATGTTTTGCTGACAAATCCAATGTGGGTACTCGTCACTCGCATGCAGGTTCTTTCAGAGTATTCCCTTACATAATGTGATGTATGAGAAAGCATGTATTTTGATGGTCCCTGATTCCCTGGGAGGGAATCCTAATTAGCATACTTACCGTAATAAAGTTTGAGCTTCATGCATATTCTTTCTTTTTTGGGGGGTAGGGCATCAGAGTACTGCTGAATAGATTGGTTTAAAGATTTGAATATGGGCTGTGAAGAAAATTAAAGACCCCTGAATATAAAATTCAAGGTACACAAAAGGCAAATTGTGCTGTGTTGTGCTTTCAAAAACCTTACTAATTTAGCTAGAATAACTGGGAACTTTCCGGATGAAAATGATAGATAGGTGTCTTCAATTATTCATACCCACATTGCCTGTAGTCTTTCTGAGGTTGAACTTTGGTTATGCTTCACATTTGAATTTGCAGAGTGTGCATTATGTACTTCAGAGTTCATGGTTTATTTAATGTCTCACAGCATCTTTGTTTTTAGACACAAACCCAAGCAGAAAGAAACATAATGGAGAGAAAAAGGGATGCCCTTTTGAAGGAAGCTTCTGAAAACAGTGCGACAGCATCCACCTTGCTAGTAAAGTTAGCTGAACTTGAATCGTCAAAACCGAAACCATATGGAACGCTGCAAGCTGTACGTATCGGTGGACATGATTTTTTTGTTAATTTTGGATTCATTATTTATTAAAAAAAAAGTGCAAGATAGCTTCCTGCAAACACATTCAGGTTCCATTAGACAATGAGCTGTTTTGTAAAAGTCACCACATGTTGGACCACAATATAGAAGTATCATTCTAATGCTATTTATGTGGTGTTTGACTATATATACTTCTGAACAAATCTGAGAAGGTTTATTTGTTAAAAATTTATTTTTTTTTGTCTAGTATGTTTTACATGTTTTGGGGTCAAGGAAAAGCATTAGTTTGTCTTATACAAGGGTGCAATTGGATCATTTACCTCACTGACATTTTGACTCCTATTCAAAATGTTTCTGTATGTGGGTAATTGGGCTGTATAAGACATTCAGCATCACATTCATCATTCCAGTGAATAGCCTTCTATTTTGTGTGACCCCTGGAAAAGAACTTGTGGGCTTGGCCCTTAGATCTTGATCTTTAGGATGTCAATGTTCAAGAAACATGTTTTGTGTAAATAAAATGATAATAATATGGAAAATTAATTTAAGTCAATACACTTTCATTTTTTGTGGATAGTCGTTTGAAATCCTCCTTTTAAACCTTTGAAGGCAGGTGAGGTTTACAGTGAAGCAGGAATTCGAGGATTTTGGAAGGGCCTTATTCCTACTCTGATAATGGTTAGTCTCTCATTGATCCATGAGAAATAATAACAAAGGAAATCTTCTGACTTTGAAGTAACAATAGTGAACCATTTCAGGTTTGCAACCCATCAATCCAATTCATGATTTATGAAACTTCACTAAGGTCTCTCAAAGAAAAACGAGCAACTAACAAGCATGGAGTGAAGCAAATAACGGCTTTGGAGGTAAGATGATGCTGAGTTTTGTTTTGTTTTTTTTTTTTTTTTTTTTGGCAAACTCAGAATTCAACTTAAATCATCACACCTTGCGATTTCTTCGGCAAGGTTTACACAGTGTTGTCCTAAATGGCCAACCGAGTAGTGATCTCTGTTCAAAATATTTATGTTAGAAATCTTCCCTTGTGGTTATATTATTAAGGACAATGAGTTGAAGCCAATGTAGATAGCATGATATGGTCCTTCCTTTGCACATTTACTCTTCGCCCAAGGCCACAAGGGGTTAGTTGGGGCGCGCTGGAGAGTGGGAGGGAATGACCTATCTGCAAATTTATAAGTTAAGGAAAAAGATTGGAATAAGCCACTAACCCACTAGTCACCTAATAGCCTCTCTCATAATCGGTCTTGTAACTTTGTAAGGAATGCTTATTGATCCCATGTAGCTGAACCTCAGTTTTCTTAGCGGTTGGGTTGCACTGACCTAATTTGTCTTTCGTTGTAATGCTGGGTGCAGCGTATAGCCGTTTACCATTCCCTAATGCAACTTATTCTGAAGTTTCCTATGTTTTTCTTTTGGTTGCTTTTGGTTCTTTATGTAAATACAAAATCACATGATTCACAACTGTTCGTGGTAGGCTTGAGTTTATGTAATCGGTGGAAGTTGTAAATGGGTAAATTGGACGCTTAAAGGAAAATTGGATGGTTCCACCCTCTCAATTGGAGTCTCGGAGGGTATTAGGGTCCATGGTAAAATCTGAAAAGTCAAAGTTTTCAAAAATTGAAGGCTATAATACACGTTTTTTTGAGGAATTTTGAGGTTTCGGGACCTGGTGTCGAAAAGTCTTGAGATACTAGAGGATACATCTCGGGGTTATATAATGCCGTTTGGAACCATATATGACCATTATAAAATTGTCATAAATGTCCGTGATAGGCTTGAGTTTATGAAATCAGTAAAAGTTGTAAACGGGTAAATCGACCGTTTAAAGACATATAAGATGGTTGTACCCACCCAAATGGACTTCTGGTGTGTATTAGAATCCATGGTAAGCATTTTGGCAATTTTTATTTTCAGGTCAAAAAAAGTGGAAAATTGTCCAAAATTGAAGGCTATAATACACGATTTCGACATTTTTTCAAACAATGAATTGAATGTGTGGGGTGACTCCCGAGGTCATATAAAGAGGTTTGAAACCATAAGACACTTATAAAGATCAGAACTATCAAAAGTTGGCCCAACCTGAAATACTGACTCAAACCGATTATTAACGGAGCCATCTGAACTTGAAAAAATGGTGACCCGAACCCGACCTTAAACCAACCCTAGACCCTAGTTGACTAGAGTATGTGAGACCCGAACCCGAACATGAGCTGACCTGGAGATGAGTCGACCCAAATGTAACCCGTAAATTATTGACCTGAAACGATTCCGACTTGAATCGAAATTGACCAAAACCCGTGTTAACCCGTCAAAACCCAAATTTAACCCGACTTGTTACTAACCTGACCTGAATTCAACCCGACCCCTTTCTAACCCGACTTGAATTTAACCTAACCTGTTACAAACCCGACCCGAAATCAACCCGACTTGTTATTGACCCGACCCAAATTCAACCCGACTTGTTATTGACCCGACTCAAAGTTTACCGGACCTATTACTAACCCGACCATAAAATTCAACCCGATCTGTTACTAACCCGACTCAAAATCAACACAACTTGTTATTGACCCGACCTAAATTCAACCCAAATTGTTCCTGACCTGATTTTAAATCACCTTAAATGCAATTCAGACCACCTTATTATTGTTGATCAAAGCCTTTTGTTTAATGAGACCAAGTGGGTCAAGGCAGTAAAAGAAAGGAGCATCATCCTCAAATTTAAGAGTTAAATATAGTTTATATTTGATGTATGGTCAAAGGAGATAATTATCTTCCTAAATTATAGACTATAGTTCCCTAGTATATATTGTCATATATATTATAGTAAAAGGATAATCATCTATTTATAGTTAGTTGAACCCGAATATGACCTAATTTGGAAATGACCCGACCTCGTTGTAACTTGCAAATTATTGACTTGAACATAACCCTACTTGAATCTGAGAATGACCCTACTTGGAAATGACCCAACCTGATTATAACCCGCAAATTATTGATTTGAATTGAACCCGACTTGAACCCGAGAATGACCCGACTTGAAAATGACCTGGCTGATTATAACCCGCAAATTATTGACTTGAACCGAACACGACTCAAACCTAAGAATGACCCGACCCGATTATAACCCGCAAATTATTGACTTAAACCGAACCTAACTCGAACTCAAGAATTACCATAACCCGTTATAACCCATGAAAACCCGAATTAAACTTGACCTATTGTTCACCCGACTCGAATGTAACCCGACCTGTTATAAACCCGATAAGAAATATGACCCGACGTGACCCGACTTAAGCATGATCCAACCCAAACCCGACCCGTATAGGTTATGAAATTAATCCGAATTGACCCGACCCGAGTTGACCTGACCCACTCTTACCGACCTGTTTACACAAATTGACAACTCTATACGAGATGTCTAAAAATTCTCAAAAAGTGTGGATATTAACCTTCAATTTTGGAATATTTTGACTTTTTTTCACCCGTAAATAATACTTGCCGAAATGTTTACCATGGTCCCTAATTCCCCCCGGAAGTCCAATTGGTTGGGTGGAACCATCCAATTTGCCTTTAAACGACCAATTTACCGGTTTACAACTTGCACCGATTTCATTAACTCGGGCCTACCACGAACATTTGTGACAACATTTAATGATCATATATGGTTCCAAACGACATTAATGACCCCGAGATGTATCCCTTAAAATCTCAATGCTTTTCGACACTGGGCCTCTAAGAATTCGAAATTTCTCAAAAATTGTGGATATTAGCCTGCAATTTTGGAATTTTTTAACTTTTTTTTCGCCTGAGTATAGAAATTGCCGAAATGTTTACCATGGTCCCTAATAGGCTAATACCCTCCGGGAATCCAATTGTGTGGGTGAAACCATCCAATTTGCTTTTAAACGACCAATTTACCGGTTTACAACTTGTACCGATTTCATTAATTCTAGCTTACCACAAACATTTATGACAACAAATAATGATCATTTAAGGTTTCAAGCGACATTATATGTCCCCGAGATGTATCCCCTATAATCTAAAGACTTTTCGACACCGGGTCCCGAAACCTCCAAAATTTCTCAATAAACATGGATATTAGCCTTCAATTTTGGAATTTTTTTGAATTTTTTTCGCCCGAAAATAAAAATTGCCGAAATGTTTTACATGGTCCCTAATAGGGGTGAGCAAACTGGGTACCCGGTCAAAATTTTAGGACCCGGACTTGGAATTGGTTAGAACCGGGTCCTAAAATTCGGAACTGGAATTGGAATTGGTTAAACCGGGTCCTAAATTTTAGGAATTGGAATTGGAACCATTGGGTACCGGTTCCGGTTCCGGGTACCCATTTATGTATGTAATTGTTAAAATATAATACAAATTATAATTCTATTTTAGTTAGTATCATTATTAGTGTTTAATACTTATATTTATATATGCATTAAGCTATTTGTATTCATGTTAGGTATTAATAATACTTTTTTTATTGTACAAATTAGATACATTTAACATATTTTTATTATTTAAAATTTATTTAATTTAGGATATATTGGGTAACCGGGTACCCAACCGGTTCCGGGTCCAAAAAGTTGAGAATTGGAATTGGAATTGGTTATAACCGGATCCTTAATTTATTACCCGGAATTGGAACCACCGGGTCCAATCTCGGTTCCGGACCCGCCGGTTCCTAACCAGTTCCGGTTCCAATTCCGGGTACCCGGAATTTTTGCTCACCCCTAGTCCCTAATACCCTCTGGGAGTCCGATTGGGTGGGTGGAACCATCCAATTTGCCTTTAAACGACCAATTTATCGATTTACAACTTGTACCGATTTCATTAATTAAAGCCTACCACGAACATTTATGACAACATATAATGATCATATATGTTTCCAAATGGCATTATATGACCCTAATATGTATCCCCTAAAATCTCAAGCCTTTTCGACACCGGGCCCTAAAAAACCTCAAAAAATTCTCGGATATTAGCCTTCAATTTTGGATTTTTTTTTTACTTTATTTTTTTGCCCGGAAATAAAAATTGCCGAAATGTTTACCATGGTCCCTAATACCCTCCGGGAGTCCAATTGAATGGGTGGAACCATCCAATTTGCCTTTAAACGGGCCAATATACAGGTTTACAACTTGCACCGATTTCATTAACTCAAGCCTGCCACGAACATTTATGACAATATATAATGATCATAAATGGTTCCAAACGACATTATATGACCCCGAGATGTATCTTCTAAAATCTTATTTATTTTCGACAACGGGCCCCGAAACCTTCGAAATTTCTCAAAAAGCATGGATATTAGCCTTCAAATTTGGAATTTTTTGACTTTTTTTTCGCACGGAAATAAAAATTGCGGAAATGTATACCATGGTCCCTAATACCTCTGGGAGTCCAATTGGGTGGGTGGAACCATCCAATTTGCATTTAAACGACGAACTTACCGGTTTACAACTTTCATCGATTTCATTAACTCAAGCCTACAACGAACATTTATGACAACAAATAATGATCATGTATGGGTCCAAATGACATTTTATGACTGCGAGATGTATTCCCTAGAATTTCAAGACTTTTAGACAACGGGGCCCGAAGACTTCAAAATTTATCAAAAACCATATTAGCCTTCAATTTTTTTACTTTTTTTCGCCCGGAAATTAAAATTGTCAAAATGTTTACCATGGTCCCTAATACCCCCCGGGAGTCCAATTGGGTAGGCGGAACAATCCAATTTGCCTTTAAATGACCAATTTACCGATTTACAACTTGCACCGATTTCATAAATTCAAGCCTACCAGGAACATTTATGACAACATATTTATACATGGTTCCAAATGGCGTTATATGTCTCCAATATTTATTCCCTAGAATTTCAAAACTTTTCGACACCGAGCCTCGAAACCTTCAAAATTTCGCACAATGCGTGAATTAGTCTTCAATTTTGGATTTTTTTTTTACTTTTTTCTCCTTGAAATACAAATTATCGATATGTTTACCTTGGTCCCTAATATCCTTCGGGAGTCTAATTAGGTGGGTGAAAAATATCCAACTTGCCTTTAAACAAAATTTATTGGTTTACAACTTCATCGACTTCATTAGCTCAAGCCTACCACGAACATTAATGACAACATATAATGATTATATATGATTCCAAACGGCATTATATAACTCCGAGATGTATCCCCTAAAATATCAAGGCTTTTTGACACCAGGCCCCAAAACCTTCTAAATTTCTCAAAAGTGTGGATATTAGCCTTCAATTGAATTTTTTGACTTTTTTTTCGTCCGTAAATAAAAATTGGCGAAATATTTACCATGATCCCTAATACCCTCTAGGAGTCCAATTGGGTGGAACCATCCAACTTGACAATTTACCGGTTTACAAATTGCACCGAATCATTAACTCAAGGCTACCACGAACATTTATGACAACATATATTGATCATATATGGTTTCAAACGGCATTATATACCCCGAGATGTATCTCCAAAAATCTCAGGGATTTTAGACACCGGGCCTTGAAACCTTCAAAATTTCTCAAAAAACGTGGATATTAGCCTTCAATTTTGGAATTTTTCGACTTTTTCTCCTGTAAATAAAAATTACCGAAATAATTACCATGATCCTTAATACTCTCCGGGAGTCTAATTGGGAGGGTGGAACACATAATTTGACTTTAAATGGCCAATTTACCGGTTTACAACTTGCACCGATATCATTAACTCAAGCTTACCACGAATATTTATGACAACATATAATAATCATATATGGTTCCAAACGACATTATATGATCCGGAAATTTATCACCTAAAATCTCAAGTCTTTTCGACACCATGCTCCGAAACCTACAAATTTTTTCAAAAAACCTGGATATTAGCCTTCAGTTTTGGAATTTTTTTACTTTTTTCGCCCGTAAAATAAAAATTGCCGAAATTTTTACCATGGTCCCTAACACCATCCGGGTGTCCAATTGGCTGGGTGGAACCATCCAATTTGCCTTTAAACGGCTAATTTATCGGTTTAAAACTAAGGCTGTGTACGGTGCGTTTGGATTTCAAACCGCAAAATTGCGGGTTGGATCTCAAACCGCAAAATTGCGGGTTGGATCTCAAACCGCAAAATTGCGGTTTGTGATTTTATCAAACCGCACCAAACCGCAATTATATACTAACCGCACCGCAAAATACGATGCAAAGGCAAACATGAAGCAAAATCATTAAGTAAACTACTCCATTATAACTTATCTAATACAAAAACCAAAAGTTATATCACAAATGAAAAAGCTTTACGACTCTAAAGCATAATAAACGAAAAGTAAGAAGGAAAACTTTTGGTTTTCTCAATTATGGCCCACACAATTCAGTAAATATAAATACAATATAAGTCTTCTTTCCATGTTTTCTTCCCACACCAACTCATTCCAACAGCACAAGAGAAATGAACAAATGGGCCTTGTACACAGCATAGCCATTATTTTTTCTGCAGTCCAAGAAAATCAAGAAATAAGTCAGACATGAAATCAAATTAGTTTCTATGTCCAAGTTTAAAAATCTGAATTGAGGCAACCTCTGTAATTTCTTGTCAATAAACCTCATGCTATGTCAATGATGGGTGGAGATAAACTAATCTTGGAGAGATCTACAATAAAAGAAATTCATGTGTTATGTAACATGGAAGATAAATGATAAGTTTAAACAATTGAATTATATAGCTATAAAAGGGACAAAACTACATACCACTTTCCAATTTTTCAATATCCTCCGGTGGCTCTTCAACATTAAGGGGTAATACATGAAGCCAATCTTGACCACAAACAAGAGCTTCTACTATTTTAGGAGTTAATGAACTCCTAAATGAATCAAGTACTCGACCTCTGGTGGTAAAAGCACTTTCAGATGCAACCGTAGAAATAGGTATAGCTAATATATCACTAGCTATAATAGAAAGAGTAGGATATCGTGCACCATGAGTTTTCCACCACTTTAAAATATCAATATCATCCACATCCTCCTCCGTATCATCATCTAAATACTTATCTAGCTCAGATTTGGCATCCACATCATCTTTTGTAGCTTTAAGTTTCTTGTATCTAGCCCTTATTATTCCCTTATTTCCTATACTAGGTTCACCATCTACTCCACTAGAAGTTGAACCCTCACTCTGAGTACTATTTGAATTAGTTGTCACTTGTGAGCCCTTGTACTCATCATACATATACTTAAAGGCTTTCTTGACTGTGTTGCATATACTTAAAGCTACATCAATCTCATACATTTGACAAATCCCATACTCCACACAATCCCATTTGTAACGAGGATCAAGTATAGCAGAGATAAACAACTTTACATTCAACTTTTTAGGATCACCCCAATATTTTTCACACTTTTCTTTCATTTTCATAGCCATGTTCTTAAAATTATCATCTCAACTAGCACACCATTCCTTTAATAGACAATCCACATCAGAAACCTTATGAAAATAAGCATTAGAAGTCACATATAATGAGCCAGAAACACGAACATTCAAATTATAAAAAAACTTTCAACAATTTTATCAGAACATGATCTTAATCATCTGACATAGGTTTCCCTAACCCCTTCCCATAACCATCCACATCCCATAAATCATCATTATAATGTGGGTCTTCATCATCATATCTCTCAAAAGCATTTACATATTTCACAGCAGTGTCTAACATCAAATAAGTCAAATTCCACCGAGTTGGAACATGAAGACACAACATAATTTGAGTTGAAATTTTCTCTTCTACGGCACATTTTTTAAACCGTTCAACTCTATTGCAAGATGACCTAATAAACCTTATTGCATTTCGAACACGATGTACAGAATCATTCATCATTTTTAAACCATCATTCACAACCAAATTCATTATGTGAGCAATACATTGTACATGCAAAAATTCTCCTCTCAAAACACTTGTCCCCCAATTGTTTATTCTTTTTTTCAAATAAAGAATAGATGTATCGTTAGAGCTTGCATTATTAGCTGTAATAGTCATGACATTTTCAATATCCCATGCAAGCAAGCATTTCTCAATTGCCTTACCAATTGCTTCCCCTTTATGACTTGATATTTGACAAAAATTTAATATTATTTTGTTTAGTTTCCAATCATTATCAATAAAGTAGGCAGTTAGACACATATAATTGATTTTTTGCAAGGAAGTCCATGTGTCAGTTGTAAGACATACTCTTCTACAATTGGTTTTTACAAAAGTCTTCAATTTCAATCTTTCATGTGTCAATTGTAAAACATACCACAATATTTGCACTTACATATTCCTTGCCCATGTTCAGTGTATTTAGTGAAGTGATCCAATATGTCTGACCTTTGTTTAGTAGCCTTTCTCTTTTGTTTAGGTTGTGGCATATCCTCTTTCTCAAGAAATCCTTCCTCATTATCATCTTCAGCAAGGGGAGTCCCCACAGAACTTGGACTACCTTCTGTACTTGACATCTAGATGTCAAAATATCAAAAAATAAATAAGTTGTAAGCAAAATCATTATGCATGATTTAATATTGTAGAAAAATGCTAATAAATTGAGGAAGTAATACTTACTTTGCAAGACCCTGTACTCGACTCCGTTGTATGAGATGAACAAACTAAACCAAAAAAATTTAATTAATTAGTTGCACAAAATTTATAATTAAAGAGACCACACACAAATTACTTGCATAAAATTTGTGACTTGTAAATTTGAGAGGTTATAAACAAAAAATAAAATGAAAAAAAAAAAAAAAATCAAATTTGATGCTATGTATAAAACGAACGCTTATAACAACTTGATCATGTAAAACACAACATTTACACATGAATATGATAGATTTCTAAACAAGATTTAAATTTTCTAAAAAAAGTACTACTTACTTCAGATTTCTTTGTGAATCTTGTAGTGGAGGCGAGCAATTAGCAATCAAGTTGTATGTACTTGTATTTGTGGGGTTCTCAAAAAAAAAAGTTCTGTAAATTTTTGTGTCTAGGATTCAAGAAAAGATTTGACTTTTAGTAAGTAGTAGAAGGACTATCGAAAACTCTCCATTCCCTTCCAGCCCTATTGACGTGATTACTGACTGGGCCTTGAAGTCGGCGGGAGGGAATATCTAACCAATTTCCAATTGTGGATAAAGAAAAGCGTAATATAGTTTGTATACAAACTCAAAAGAGTCTCTGAGCTGAGTATTCAGGTATTGGATTAGTTCATTAAAGGAATAATCCCAAAAAATTTTGACTCTGTACCAGGGATTTCACTATTATTATGAAACAATAATGGAAAAATTCCTTCATATTCATAGAAATAGGGGACATAATTCACATGGATATTGTAAGTCTCACTTGGGCTGCTTTAATGGTAGTCTTTACATTTTCTCTTTCGCTTGTAGTATGGGGAAGAAGTGGACTCTAGAAATACTAATTGAGTTTCGTTGAGGAATAAAACTGTATCATTATCATTTGTTTTATCGATCGCTTCGCAAAGTGTATTTAAAGATAATAATGTCAATAAAAAAGATATTTCAATAATTCCCACGTTTATATTTCGAACGGAGATATAGATGATAGGAAATTTATCTAATTGAATTTTTCTGAAATTTCCACGAATGGACTCTTATCAAAATTCAATTAGATAAGTTTTATTATAATGGAGAACAGCGGATCTCTTTTGTTTCAATATTTGATTGCAAAATTTAAAGAAGTTTTCATACCATCGAACTCTTTCGAGCATCTATCCACCAGCCAATCAATTCAATTACTTTCCTTCTTGGGTTGGCAATGATAAAAAAAAGATTACTAATTTGGTTTTTTCTTAATATATACCAAACTTTACTTTTTTTTCGTTGATTCTTTCGGCAGGTACTGGGATTAAGTTTGTATCTTTATCATAAATTATAGTTTATAGTACAGCGTCTTACACGAAAAAAGACTAATCTAATTGATAGTATGGTAGAAAGATTCATATGAATCTTTCTACCATACTATCAGCTCTCATCGAATATTGCTGATTCGCTCCTGCTCGTTTCAGTTAAGAAATGCAATTGGAATCCGTCAAAGAACTACGAAATCAAGTTTCATTCAAATTAATCATTCTGGCTAACCGTTTTTACATAGATAATAAGTAAAAAAGCAGTAGGAACTAGAATGAATAGTGCAGTTTCAATAAATGCGAGAATATTTACTTCCATAATCTTATCGTTTTTTTACGTACCATTAACTCGGGATTTAATCCCATAGAGATGATCCAAATTTTATCTGTTGATGATATTGAATCAGATTAATATCAGGAATAACAATATATGAGCTATCATATCAATTCGCCGTCGCGAATTGAATAGTATACCATAGGAAGCTCTTTTATCCATACTGAATCCAAAAAAAGAAAAATGGAATTTGTTATCTAATCAAGAATTCCCTTAAGTTATCGTTCTTTTTTACTCTTTTTTCCAGAACCTGACGTCTTTCTTCTACAATCAATCATCTAATGAAGTTTCACTTTTTCGTTTCCACTTCCACTGGTTACAAAAATCCAAAAACAAAAAATAGAAGGAAACGGGATCAATCTGAAAAGTATTTTGTCAAGGTAATTTTAATAAAAAATTGGGTGTTGTACAAGAAACAAATTCGATTTATACATGTACTCCCGAGAAACATCTGGAATTCGATTCCATTAGATAGACGCGAGAAATTGAAAAACCAGACCTACTATGTTATCTTTTGAAATCCTAAATAGAATCTTACCAATCAAAAAAATTTCTAGTACTAAGCCACATATCTGTTTTAGGAATTAGTTCTAGTTCAAGTAATGGAAATTTTTCTATTTGTTTGAAAATGAGAAGAAAATAAACTCAAAAAGAAAAAAAAAAGACCTAAGAATCATCCGAAGACTTCCTATTGAAAGTGAATTTCTATTGTTGTTCTTTTCCAAAAAAGTGGAAAGATCCATTGATATATTTATGGATTATTGGAACCGTCGGGACTGACGGGGCTCGAACCCGCAACTTCCGCCTTGACAGGGCGGTGCTCTAACCAATTGAACTACAATCCCAGGGAACTAAAGTATACAGTATCTATACTTTACTTTCTTATATGATTTGACTCAAAGCATTTCTAGGTAGAATTTTTGTGTTGTAACAGAGACGCGAGTGATATATTTATCTTCATTTCACATGAATATGGACTTTCTTTAGTGAGAACGACACGAATTGCTAGTAAATTTTTCTTATTTCAAAATCTATTGATAAAATAAAGAAAAAGAGTTTTCTTTTTTTCTTTCTATTTTTTTTCTATTTATACTTTAACAATTTTAACTTAAAGACCATACCATAATATGAATCTAGATCATTATTCTGATCAGAATTTCAATTTCCCGAAACAAATAAATAAAGCAAACAAATAGAAAAAAGAAAGTATAACAAAAAATTGGATTATTTTTTTACGTGTATCAGCCGTTTCGGGAAGACAAAAACCTTCGTCTCATAATGAATGAGCGGATTATTGGGCCGAGCTGGATTTGAACCAGCGTAGACATAGTGCCAACGAATTTACAGTCCGTCCCCATTAACCGCTCGGGCATCGACCCAGGAAGAATCAATTCAATTTGAAGCTTATTGCTAATCTATGATCAACTTCCTTTTGTAGTACCCTACCCCCAGGGGAAGTCGAATCCCCGTTGTCTCCTTGAAAGAGAGATGTCCTGAACCGCTAGACGATGGGGGCATACAGGCTAAACTTCCATCATACTATGAATATAATATGAGCAATTTTTTGAAATTGTCAATATAATCGAATAATCAGATTCAAAAGATCTTTCCGTCTTACAAAATTCCATAGAATTGTTTTGTCATTTCAATTTCATTTATGAATCATTCATTCGCTAGAAAATCAAAAATTATTAAATATTTATATAGACTAATTTATTCATTAAAAATGAATCGAATATTAATAATTAATCGAATACTAATATTAATATAATTATCTAATTCTAATATAGAACGCGAGATAATATGAAATTACAGAATACTTTCCGTTGTCGAAAAGAAAGAAAAAAAGGGAGTTTAAATGGTGGTCGATTGTCTGAATTTCAATGGTCTTGATCTCTCAAAAATTTAGATTTGAAGGAGAAATAGAAGTAGAAATTGCCAAATTGATACAGAGAGGAAGAAAAATGAGGGAGAGGAGGGATAGATGAGAATGTCGACTACTAGGTATTGCAAAATAACATCAGTAACCCTAAAAAATATCAAGATTTTTTTTTATATTTGTTTATTAAAATATATATTATAGAATTGATTTTATGGTTTACGGTTCAAACCGCAAACCGCTTTACATTGCGGTTTGGTTTGAAATTTTTTTGGAACCGCACCAAACCGCAAAACCACGGTTTGGTCAAATTTAAAAATCGCACCGCAATTTCCAAACCGCAAACCGCTAAATTGCGGTTTGGTTTGCGACTTGGTGCGGTATAGACCGCACTCTACACATTCCTATTTACAACTTGTACCAATTCATTAACTCAAGCCTACCACGAACATTTATGACAACAAATAATGATCATATATAGTTCCAAACGGCATTGTATGACCCCGAGATGTATCCCCTAAAATCTCGACACCGGGCCTTGAAACCTCCAAAATTTCTCAGAAGCGTGGATATTCGCCTTAAATTTTGGAATTTTTTGATTTTTTTTTCGCTTGTAAATAAAAATTTCTGAAATGTTTACCACATTCCCTAACATCCTTTGGGAGTCCAATTAGGGGGTGGAACCATCCGATTTGCCTTTAAATAGCGAATTTACAGGTTTACAACTTGCACCGATTTCATTAATTCAAGCCTACCACAAACATTTATGACAACATATAATGATCATATATGGTTCCAAACGGCATTGTGTCCCCGAGATGTATCCCCTAAAAACTCAAGAATTTTCTACACCGGGCCTTGAAACCTCTAAAATTTCTAAAAAAGTGTGGATATTAGCCTTATATTTTGGAAATTTTTGACTTTTTATCACCTATAAATAAAAATTGCCGAAATGTTTACCATGGTTCCTAATACCCTCCGGGAGTCCAATAAGGTGGGTGGAACCATCCAATTTGCCTTTAAATGACGAATTTACCTATCTACATTCTACAACTTGAACCGATTTCATTAACACAAGGCTACCACGAACGTTTATGACAATAAATAATGATCATTTATGGTTTAAAATAATATTATATGACCCCGAGATATATCCCCTAACATCAATGATTTTCGACAACAGGCCTCGAAACCTCAAAATTTTCTCAAACAGTGTGGATATTAGCCTTCAATTTTGAAAATTTTTTTCGCCCGAAAATTAAAATTGTCGAAATGCTTACTATGGTCC